CGGGCGGGAAATTTGTACAATTTTTGTGAAAAAGCATTGGGTTTTTGATGTTTTTATGTTGAAATGCTTGCAAACACACGGTGTTCGGTAGGATTCTGACATGAACGCGCGCGTGTGCTCTTTGTGGTATTTTTTGCAATGGATTATCGCCGTGGACGACAGGACGTCCATGTCGAGAGGAAAAAATAAGAAAAATGTTGATTTTGTATTGTTTTTTACAGGTTAGGATGGGACCACCCGGATGCGCCCGCTATTTGCCGGCCTGAGGGGGGAGTAGGAGTATATTCTAATAAGGAATAAGGATAGGAGTAGTTGCAGCAGTAATTGTAGTAGTAGCCGTAGTCGTCGTCGTCGTACGCGTAGTACTGAAGTTGCAGCCGTAGTCCTCCCCCTCATGCAGCGGCTACCGTGTAAGCCACCGTGTAGTCGTAGTAATATGTGGAGGTGGGGGAAAAAAAGCCCCCCCCCCCTTTGGTGCTGGTGCTGTGGGGGGGTGGGGATGGGCACCACAAACGGGAGCAAATGCTTTTGTTTTGCTGGTTTTGGTTGTAAATGAATAGGTCAAATACACGTTTCCCCCCAACCAGCACCAGCAGTAAAGGGGGTTGATGCGACCCTTTTCTTCTGGGATCACGAACCAGATTCTGCGAGGTCGCCACAACCGAAAGTGTGCCCAACGGCACGGCGACACCCCTCCCTCGACGTTACACACCGAAACCACAGGCACACCCCTGGCCATACCCAGCAACACACGCGAAGACGGAGACGATTCGGACCAGAGGTCAAACACACAAACACACACAAGCACACACCAACACACAAGCACACACAAACACACACACACACGCGCACATGCGCGCGCCACAATAACAACAACCATGACAAAATACACCTTTAGAAACTCAGGGGGGGGACTCGACTGTGGAACCCTTTGGGCGATAGTTGCTTTGATGGCTTGCCCCGAAGGCTACGGGCCCTTGGGCCCATCAGAAAACAAAATGCTCGTGTGTGCGCGTGTCTTCAGGGTTTAAACTTTGCGGCAAGGTCTACCATAGCATTCCCGTGCTGGATTCCATGGTCTGAGCGGGCTCCTCCCTCTTCCCCCTTGCGCTCTGTTCTCTCTCGCCTTCGTGCCTCAACTCGCTCCCAGTGCACCCCACCACATGCTGACCAGCGCGTGAATGTCTTGGGCTACTTGGCGCCCGCGGACTTACACGGTGTGCGTTTCGAGTCCCAGCCACGCGTGTGCGGCATCGTGGCACGTCACGCGCCAAACCCAGCGCGCGTCCAAGAGCTCCTGGAAATCGGAGGCCAGGAGCTCTTCACAAGTATGCAGGACGCCCACGGCGAATCACCGCTGCCCCCTGCCTTTTAGGATGCGCCTATGTGGCCAAGCGTTTGGGCGAGGCCTTTTCGGAGCCACTTGGGGCACTGTTAGGGCCTCCTGGGCTTCCTGGGGAGCTTCCTGGGGGCCTCTTGCATGCCTTCTGGGGGCCTCCCTCCTTGGGCCTCTTGTCCTCTAGGGCGTTTCTTTGGGGCCTTTGGCTGTCTTAGGGCGCTCATGGCCCCAAGACGCCGTCGGAAGGCGTCTTGGGAGTCTTTTGGGGCCCTCTTGGGGTGTTTCGGGGCCGTCTTGGAGGCCTCTGGGGCCGTCTTGGGGACTTCTTGGGGCCGTGTTGAAGGTCTCTTGGGCTGTTATGGTGCCATCTTGGAGGCCTCTTGGGCGATCTTATGTAGGTATTTTGGGCCTCTTGTGCCGTCTTGGGCCGTCGGAAAGCCGAATAAGCAAGTGTCAAACTCACGCACAAACCCAAGGGAAATGAGTGATTGTTGCCTCCTCGGGCCTTCCTAGAGACCTTTTCGGAGGTCTCTTCGGCGGGGCCATCTTGGGTGTATTGGGCCATTCTTGGGCCTTCTCGGAGGCATCTTCGGCCCTCTTAGGCGCTTTTTGGGCCCATGTTTGGCCGCTTGCGCTACCGGAGGACGCACGCGAGACGCCTGGGCAATTTCCAGGAATCCTGGGGAATCCCTGGGAATTCCCCCAGAACCCTTGTGAAACTGCTGGCCGGGGCGTGTAGAACCTGGAAGAACCCTGCATCTCAGAACTCCTCAGGGCCGGATGAGCCTTGGGCCACTCCACTAGTGACGTGCTGAAGGCACGGCGGCGAATTTACAGCACTCCATGCTGGGCATCCTGAAGGACCTGAAGGCACCCCATTCAATGATTGCAGCACGGTGGCTGCCCTCGCCCGAAGCGCTGTCTGTCTACCCACTGTTTGTCTACGCGTAGTCTGCCAGCGGCCGCCCTGCCTCCGAGCGGCACCCTGTGCTTACCGCGCTCCTGGCTGGGGCCGTGATGCCTCCCCAGACTTCATGGTGCATTTTTTTTTTCCATCTGCCCCTTGGGCCCCCCCCCCTGGGCCGCGCATATGCTTCGGGCCTTGAGTTTCGAACCCCTCATCTTGGACGACCCCCTTTTCCGGGTATACCCAACTGGGGCCACTGCTTCTGCACCCGCGTACTCTGTGCCGGACCAGCTTGCTTGTGGGGGTGATGTACGCTTGCCCCCGCTCCGCGGTCCTGTGCTGGACAAGCTTGCTTGTTGGGGTTGTCTGCAAGCATCGCGCCCCCACTTTGTGGACGCCCTCCACTTGCGGCCCCGCAGCCTGCTCGGACATGTACATCGTGGCCCTGACCATCAAGGGCCAGTGGATCGCGGGCGTCCCTGGTGCGCGGCGCTTGGGCGACGCCTGGGACATGCAGTACTTCGCCAGTAAGCCGGCCCAGAGGGGCAGCCGCGGCGCTGGCTGGAGCTTTCGCCCAGGGGGTGCGCGAAAGGGGGATGGCAGGGAAGGGGGGTACGGGGTGGGGGAGGCACAGACGGAGGAACAGAGGCATGAGGGGGAAAGGAGGAGGAGGAGGAGGAGGAAGAGGAGGAGGAGGGAGGAGGAGGAGGAGGAGGAGGAGTAGGAGGAAGCCTCGGGCCCAGGAGCTCGTGACATGCAACGTGCGGAATCATCGGCAGTGGGAAGTTCACCATGAGAAGCGCCTGCTGGAATTGGTGCGCCAGTTTGCCCATGTGAAACAGGTGAGCATCTGTGTTACGACAGGCCTTGCAGGATGACGCGGTATGCGTTTTCACGACACGCTGTCCCCTTGCGGCTCGAGGGCGTCCACGCAGCGCGCTTGCTGCTGATGCCGTTGGCAGCGGTGCCCGTTTCCAGCCGGGCGGCCGCGGGGGCGCCGGGCAGTTGTGCAGGCCGTGCCCAGGCGCCGCTCGAGCGCCTCCGGCCTGGGCCGGGCCTGCGCCGGCAGCGCGGCGCGGACCAGCGGAGACGCCTGCGGGCGAGAGACGCTCATCGCAGCGGCGGTCAGTGGGCCAGCAGCAACCCCGCCCGGCGCGGCTGCGCGCGGCAGTCTTTGGGCGCTGCGTAATGGGGGATCATAAATGGTGGGGTGGCGAGTGTGGTCCGAAAAGGTACCCAAACGGTACCTAAACGAGCCCCTGGGGCTCTGCAGGGGCCCGAAAGGGGCACGAAAGGGGACCTTTTCTGACCCCCCCATTTGTGACCCCCCCATTAAGCCACGCCCAAAGTCTGGCGGCAGGGGCCCGGGCGCGCCGGCTGCGGACAGCGCGGCGAGGGCGCTCCCTGGCCCCCCAGGCTGCAGGATCGAGCGCGACATTGACGACGGTCCCGCTTCGAAATCTCGCGGAAGGTATAGTCCGAGAGACTGCTGGGGCGGCGAGCGCCGCGCCTGCTAGGCGAAAGAATACTCCAGAATAGGGGACAAGAGCCCTGGAACACCAGGGGCCAGGATCACTGGGGCACGGCAGCAGCAGACCAGTCCAGAGTGGAAGGTGGCAAGGGGAAGGCCGATTGGGACCAGTCGGAAATCTGGAGCAATTACGGGGGCGACGGCTGGGGCGCCAACAGATGGCCCGACCAGCAGGTGGAGCTCCGGTAGCTGGGGAGGTCGTGTCAAGGGCGACTACTCCGACCTTCCTGGCTGGCCGGGCGGGACGCGCTACCGCCAGTGGCGGAAGGCGCTCAGGCGCTGGAACACGAACGCTGATGTCCCGCTCTGGCGAAGACATGAGAAGTTCGCTGAGTCGTTTGGAGCACGCAGGCAAAACCTGACGACGCCCCCGAACGCATCCTCGGCGCGGCCTCCCGGATCAGCGCGGTCGTTGCCAGGATGGACTTGATGATGGGAGATCGAGTGGAGGCGAGCTGCGGCGGACAGGCCGCCGCGCGCTGTTCGAGGCCACGCGCGGCAACAGGATAGCCTGACGCTGAGACCATGCGTCGGGGTTTGCTTGTTCAGGAGGCCGAGGCGAGTGATCTGACCCTCTCGTCCAAGATGAAGGGGCTCATGCTGGAGGAAGAGGCTGGCCCGTCTGCCCAGAACACGCAGAAAAAAATCTAACTTTGACAAGAGGCGACCTCGACTGCGAGAGTGCGATGTGGGCGCTGGGACAGGTGGACGCATCAGGGTCCGAGCGTTTACTTCCTGGTAGGATCGCCGGCTGGCGGCTGGGAGCGGGGCCGAAGTGCCGGATTGTTTCGATGGCTTGTCCTCTCCCAGTCTCCCTTCGTTCCCGGTCGGTCGGCGGTCGAGGGGTCTGGCGACGAGGATTTTCGTCGCGGGCGGGGGCGATTTCTTGGGTGAGCGCGTCGGTGAGGAGGAGGATGCCGCTCTGCTCGCCGAGCTGGACGACCTCGACTTGGGCGAGGCCCAGATTGGCGTTGTCATGGCGCTGATCGAATCCAGGTACAACCGGCGGACGCGGCAGCAGAACGAGGACTTGAAGCGCGCGGCCAAGCGCGACGGCGGGTTTTGGGGCGCCGAGCTGAGGACTGGAGCTTTCGCAGAGGGCCAAGCAATTTTTGCCGCCCTGGAGGGCGCTCCGGAGACGCGCGCTGGCTTCTCGGACGATCCGACCGAGGCAGGGGACCTCGAGGCGTCGACGGGCGGAGACAAAATCTATCGGCCGAGCAACTGATGGAGATCCCCAAGCGCGGCACATGCAAGCAGAAGGGCCACTGGCGCTGGGGATGTCTGGATAAGGACGACACAAACTTCGCGGGCCGTTTCGCCTTGGCTGGGCGCGCCTTGGGCGCGGGCGCGTGGGCTGCGGCGCACGAGACGCTGCGGCAATGGAAGGAGCTCGACGAGGAGCTGCCGAGCAACGGCAGTGGAAGGAGCTGGGTTTACTTGACCGCGCGAGCTACCCAGCCGCCGGCGGGCCCTTGCACTTGGAGCGACCTGGTCGGCCTGGCCGCGTCGTATCCGGAATCGAGAGCTCCGGCAGCAGTCGGACTCAAGTTTGACCATGCCGAGGCAGTATCAGAGGTCGCGCGCAGCCCACGCAGTGGGCGGCTTTGCGATGGCGGCAGCGTCTCTCCTGATCCACTTGCGCCTGGGGGGGGCCCACTTCGTCGTCGAGGCCGCAGTTTTTTCGAGAAGAAGTTCCGGTCGGTGTCTTTGAATTTTTGCGCCGCGTCATCGACCTGCCCCAGGACGTCATAAACTCGGGAACCTTGGCAGTCAATCTTCCCCTCGCTTGTCTCGGGTCAGGCCGCCAGATGGCCGCGATCGCGCAGCAGTTGGAGTCGCTTCTGGCTGCCCTCGGGAGCGCGGTGCAGAAGCACCCTTTCTCGTCAGCGAATTGTTCCGCGCTGGGGCCCGAGGGGCCCGCCGAGCTACAATCTCCCAGGGAGCTCCACGGATACATGGCCTTCATCGCCAGATTCATCATCATGCTGGGTGAGTGGGCTACTGGAGCTGTCACGGCATTGGGTCGTCGAGTGGCCCTTATCAGTGAAGTGCTCATAGGGATCGCGGAGGTTCCGTCGAGGCCTTTCATTCGGACGTTCGGGCCAAGGGCTCACTTAGCGTCTCCGGATCGCCCGGGGAAGCTACGGCGGAGCTCAGGGGCGCCAAGGAAGAGCGCGTCATCTCCTGTCGAGCAGCGCCCCCCCCATCACGTCGTGGACCTTGTTGCCCATGCTGGTTCGAGCTTGCAGGGTCGATCGACGCGCAGCCCCGCCCGTTTACGCGTTTGCGCTTCGAGCCCGTAATCCGAGCTAGGGTCCACGTAGCTATGCTGATCGCTGATCGGGGCGCCGGTGGCGCAGGCGCAGGCGGGGCCCGAGAAGGCGCCCAGGGCGTCTCACGAGGCCCAGGAGCGCTCACGGGAGATCCGTCATAACTCCGATGGGGGCGCCAGAGCCGGCGGGCGACGAGGCTCCCCGGAGATGGCGACGCTGCAGTTGGGATCGGACGGCGAGCCTTCCCAGGGACCTCTACCCGCGGATCCCGACAGCGCCGCGGGCACCGTCGGGGTCGTCAAGTTCCGGGGGCGCGACAGCCGCTCAGAGGCCGCTGAGCCCGCGGGCCAGCATGCCTCAGGAGTCATCAGAGACGCGCGGGGCCGCGGAAGCTTCGCCGGCGCAGCCGATGGCCGCCGCGGCTCAGCAAGAGCTGGGGCCGACGCTGTGGAACGCGGCGGCGATGGCGGTTCAGCGGTCCCCGATGACGCCGCAGCCCCAGCCCCGGCCAGCGTCGTCGGCTTCGAATCGGCCGTCGAGTCCGCCAAGGAAGGCTCTTTCCTGAAGGTCGACCCTCGCGCGCTGGCAACTGGCGGGGTGCCTCCCGACGCGGCCGAGACTGGATTCCACCCCCATTATGACAGCCCTGGGGGGGGCAGGTCCCGGCCAAGCCTCCGCTGGCGCATCTGGCGGGTAGGCCCGCGCTCGCATCCAGTCGATAAATCCGCTACTGTGGGAAAACTGGGGCAGCGAGTGGACATGCACTGTCTGCAGACAGTGGGTCGCGCGGTTTCCTCGAGGGGGCCCGGGCGCCGAGAGGTCGGAAGACAGCGCGGAGTTGGCGTCTCAGGCGGCGCGCTCGGCGGCAAGGTCGGCCCAGATAGCGGTGGAGACCCCGCGGGGACGCGGCGGCTGCGTGCAGGGAGCGGCGGCGCTGAACGCGGTCAACCAGTTGAACAGCTACTTTCAGTCTCTCCAGCGGCAGCTCTGAAACTTTCGCGAGAGAGCCTGTGCATTCGGACAAGTGCAGGAGACGCTGAGCCAGATGGTCACGGCGGCTGCCCAGGCACAGAACCACCCGAGCAACGTCGGAGAGGGCGCACCTTCAACAGGGCCAGGTCAGCGCCAGCAGCACGGAGCAACCAGCGCAGCATCCACCTGGCCACCCATCAGGCCAGGATGCCGATGGGCTAGGTGGTGATTCCTGGGCACCGTCTACGCGCGCGACCGCGACGACCGACGGCAGCCATCAGCGGGACTTGGTCTGAGGATGAACCACTATTTCGAGACGCCCCGTGCTCCTGGGCTGCCAGGGGCGCCCGAGATCCGTGAGCGCGCCTGCTGCTCTCGAGGGCGAGGGGAAAAAGCTTCTCCCCCGTCTCCTCGGAGTTCGCGGACTTGGCAATCTTTCTGTCGCCCATATTTTCCGTCTCCTGTTTCAGGCAGATACCCCGGGCCCCCGGGGCCATATTCTCCCACCCTTGTTTCGGGCCCCTGGCCCAGGGGCCCGCGGGCCCCAGCGGTCCGGCGCGCGCTCGGGGGTGCCTCGGGGCCGAGGAAGGCAGCTGCAGTGGACGGAGACATGTGGAACGATCGTCGCGAGGCGTTCTGTCCCGCCTTGGTGAGCCAGGCGCTTGAGCGAGCCGCGAAGGCGAGACTCGGCCGTCAGACCGAAAATCCAAGGGTTCTCGGCGAGGACGTAGCTGCGGGTTGCCGCGCCAGCCGTGCCAAGCGAGGCCACGTTTTCTCCCCGCCTCGCATAGCCCCAGGGATTGCTATGATTGGGGTTGCGTTGGGTTCCTGGCCGCGCAGGGATGGGCCCGCAGGTCGGGGCTCTTCCGAGCAGGAACAGGTCCGAGAGATCTGGCGTCGGATCGACGGGGGGAACCCGAGCTCGCGCGGCTCAGACCCGAGTGCAAAGTGTTTTCGGCAATCAATCGGGCGAACGAGAACTGGAGGAACCGTGGAGGATGGCATCGGGGGATGATCGATGGGCTTCGCAACCTCACGTTGCCCATGGAGACATCCGCCCATCAGCGCGCCAAGGAGCGATACTTCGTTCGAGCGACCCCGGCTTGCGAGCTCCTGGAGCGGCCAGGCAGCGTTGCGCATGCGGAAATGTCAACCGGAGCGTATTATCTAGAGTCGGATGGCGCGGCGGTCGAAGCCCGCGGAGGGCACTTCTCATGGGCGCTCTGCCAAATCTCGCCGGCGCGGGCACGGCCGCGCAGACCCAGATCTGGGCTCGTTGGCGGCGCGCGCCCCCGCCGCCCCAGACGTCTAGCATCATGGCGCTCGCGCGGTCGCTTGATCACGCTGACCGACGTAGCAGACGTCGAAAATGCTTTCGGCAAATCGGACCCACGACGCGCCTTCAGGGGCACAATGTTGAACGTTGCGAAGGCATGGGCCCGCCCAGGGGGTCGTTGATCTAGCCTCGCGTCAACGTGCAAGGCCTCGACGGGGCCCGTGTAGCGCGCAGACGCACTGTCGTCAAATTCTCCTAGGACCACGGGCTCACAGAGAGTCTTCTAGCGCCGCGTTGGCGGGTGCGCGCGGGCCCGAGGGGGGCATGTTGAGCGTAATGTTGCTAGAAGTAAACGAGTTCTCCATAGCGAGCTCCTCCTTCAACTCCCGTAGCTGGCTACGCCAACAACGGGAATCTTGTTTGAATCGTGGGAAACTCAGTGATTGCTACAGCGGCCCGGGAGAGTTTGCCAGATGACGAGTGACCTTCGGGACACGCAAAGCCACCCTCGATCAAGAACGTTTTTTTCCTGGAGGCATCGAAGCCCATCTCAGCAGCTCGAGGCAGGCTAGCTCGGAAAGACCCACCACTAGAGCTTGCTGAATCCAACGTGCTTCGTTCACTTGTATACAAATTCAAGTGGTCTGGCCGCGATCCGAGACCAAGGGCAGCGTGAGCGGGGAGCATCTTAGCTAGCCGCCTCAACGCAGCGACCACGGGATACATCTCATCGGCAAATATGTTGGCGCGGCAATTGCGTTCGACGGCCCTGCGAGGCCTGTCCGCTTGGTAGTTCGCCCCCGGGCGCATTGTTTTTATTTCTTTTTTTCCAGACGCCGGAGGCGTAGGAACTGTAGACGACATGGTGGACGACCGAGGCCTACCCGAGGATCACGCGCACGGCGCGTGGATGGTCTTCGCTGCCGACAGTGACGTTCTCAGCAATCGTTCCTATCGAGCGTTTGTTCTAGGCTGGAGAAACTCCAAGTTGAGACGCAAGGCGCCCTCCACTTTGCTGGGGAGGCACAGGCAGTGTTTGTTGCCGTGGCCGAGGTAGAATATCTGTAGATCCTCTACCAGGATAGTGTTTCCCAGGATGTCAGCGTGTGAGATCACAGGCGGGGTTCAGGCCCTTTTACGCTTGTTCTCTGGGCCGGCTTGTTTCGGCTCGCGGGAGCGACAAGTTCAATGTGCCGATGCCACGACACAGTGATGAGGGAAGGGAGGGCCAGGCCACGAGATGGGACTACCGCCGTAGATTTAGCCTTCATTTGTGAAACAGTGGAAGACGCGAAAGGCAAAGTACGTTGGATAACCCACGGCCGAATGCTGGCCGATTCCCTGGCCTCGACAGAAAGTGGAGCTCTCTGCGACTCGATCTCGTGACGAATGGCCGGCTGATCTTATTTGATGATGGGGGCGGGGCGGAGTGTCGCCACAACACTCCTGGCCACAAGAGTCAGACCCAAGCAGCCTTCGGGAAGCTCTTATACAATCCAGTGCTCATTCCTGGCGGGGCTCGGGTACAAGATCTAGGATGGTGGTGTAGGTGGTGGTGGAGGCTCCTCTCCTCCCTCCTCTCTTTCTCTCTTTCATTCTTTATGTTTTTGTCCTATACCGATCCCGTCCGTCTCATTTTCAATAGGCCGGTTTCTGAAGTACTGCTCTTCTTGCTCAGTGATGTGTTCAATGGCATTGCGGCCCGCAGCCTTCACAGGAACAAGCTGTTGGGCGCCAGTGGCTAGGGGTCCCAGCGTCTCAGGGCTGCAAATCCTACGAGAAACTCTTTCCGGTGGAACAGGTGATCATATTTCTCGGGAGCCTTCAGACGGTGGTCAGTGCAAACGGGGGTCAGCCACGGCACCGGATCCTGCAGGATCCTGCGAAGACCCCCTCTGGCTGACCCGGGCTAGCGAGCCGCTCGTGGCCGCGAGGCGGCCGCACATATTGGCTGACCCGGGTTTGCGAAGACCTGCGTTGCAGCTTTTTGTTTCCTGCATTGCAGTTTTTGGTTTCCTGCTGACCCGGGTCTGGATAGACCCGGGTCAGAAGATCCCCGAATTTCGCACGATAGGTTTTTGTTTTGTACGGGTGCCAGTTGTTACGGCATGCTCTCGCTGTTTGGCTCAAGGAAAACAGGATTTGCGTATGCTGTTGCCGCACATTCTCGCCATCCCACGCTGACAACCTCCGGCAATTGCGAACAGCATCATGGATGATTATGTGGTGGCATCACCCCCAAGCGCCACGTGAAGGCAGCGGGTTAGGCGCCCCATGGCCAGCTCGAGCCCAAAGGCACGATGCTTTGGACCACCCGTGCTTGAAGGAGGAGGAGGAGGAGGAGGAGGAGGAGGAGGAAGAGGAGTTGAGGAGGTGGAGGAGGAGGAGGAACAGCAGCAGCAGCAGCAACAGGAGGAGCAGAGAGGATGGAGGAAGATGGAGGGAGGGAAGGACAGAGGGACGGAGGAAGGGTGCGGAGGATGAGGAGGAGGAGGAGGAGGAGGAGGAGGAGGAGGAGGAGGAGGAGGAGGAGGAGGAGGAGGAGGAGGAGGAGGGGGGGGACTAGGGATGATGACGATGGCGGAGTGAGAATGGGGGAGGAGGAAGCGGGGGAGGAGGAGGGATAATACACAGAAGAAGAGGAGGAGGAGGAGGAGGAAGATCAGGAGCAAGAGGAGGAGGAGAAGGAGGGAATAGGGACAGGGAACGAGAAGGGATGAGGAGCAGGAGGAGGGCAAGAGAGGAGGCATGAGGAATGAACAAGTGGAGGAAGATGAGGTTGCCACGGTTCCCGAGGAATACCTACGGCAACATCCGCATGAAGGTCAATTGGGGTCATACCGCCGAGGGGGTGAAGTACATCAATCTCCTCGTGCGCAACCTGGCCAACTCTGGCTATACTGTCGGAGGCTGCGTCTTCCTCCCTCCTCAGCCCCCACGTTTCTCATGCCTCCTCCCCCCCCTCCTCCTCTTCCTCCCTTCTCGTCTCTCCTTCCCCTGTCTCCTCCCCGCGGCATCCTCGTGCATTCTCGCAGTTCGCAGTCCGCAGTCGTTCTCTTGTCCTCCTCGGTCTTCCCTCTCGCCCTGCGTCTCTTCCTCCTTCTGCTCGTCCTCCCTCCCGTTCACGCCGGCTGCATTGCCGGAGGCCTGCTCGGCGAAGACGACCACACGTCTGCGTCGACCCCGATGGCGGACTGCCAGCAGTTCCTGTCGCTCCTGGGCTGGTCGCGATGAGCCGATATCGAGGGGTCGTGGCAACAGGGGGACAGCAAGATTTTGTCGCTGGCGGCGAGGTGGGTGGCGAGGAGGCGGAGGAGGAGGAGCAGGAGGCGGGGGAGGAGGAGGAAGAGGAAGGGGAGGAGGAGGAGGAGGAGGAGGAGGAGGAGGAGGAGGAGGAGGCAGAGGGGGAGGAGGAGGAGGAGGAGGAGGAGGAGGAGGAGGAGGAGGAGGAGGAGGAGGACGAGGACGAGGAGGAGGAGGAGGTGGAGGAGGAGGAGGAGGAGGGAGGAGAGAGAGAGAGAGATAGAGAGAGAGAGAGAGAGAGAACAAAAAAACGGGAGCTGAGGCGGCAGCAGGAGCAGGACATCAAGCCACCCACCGGCCTTCAGCCTACTGCCGCCCCGGCGGGCTCCAGCCGTTCCCTTCGCAGGGCCCGCGGGCCACCACTGCAGTCTTTGCGTTTTTGTTTATGAAGCGGGCTTCCTCCAAGGGCCAGCTGTGGGCCGCGCGTGTGCGAGGCGCGGAGGCGTGCAGCACGCCTGTTGCTCACAGATCGCATGCAGTTTAACTATGCTGCGCACTGGAGCGTGCTTCAGCGACCGGCCGCCTCTGCCCTCCTCTCCCGTCCGTCCCTGCTGCCCGTCTGTCCCTGTTCTCTTCTCCCCCCCCAGCTCCCTCCCTGCCTCGTCACCTTCCTCCCGCCCATACCTTTCCTCTTCCGCGCTCCTCCATCCTTTTCTCTCTCTCTCTCTCTCTCTCTCTCTCTCTCCTCGTCCGCCACTCCACACACGGTGAAGCAGGCATGTGCGAAGTGAGGGAGGGAACGAAACGAAGTGGACACCGTCATTCTCTTCTTGTTTGAATGGTTGCCAGTACCTTGCTGGTATAGCACCTGCTCGCCGACGCCTGATTGTTGGGATGGGATCCCACTGGCTTCTATCTGCTTTCATGCACTGCTTTTGGGTACGCCTTTCGTAGCTGCCTTCTGGCGTTCTGCAAAGCACTCTCGGCCAACCATCGTCGCCGACATTTAATCAGCCTTTGTTTTTCAAGCATTTTGATATCGAAGACGCCTACGGCGAATCACCGCCGCCCCCTGCCTTTGTGGAAGCGCCTATGTGGCCGAACGTTGAGGCCAGACCTGCCAAGCCATCGGACCATGTGTTCCCCGAATCGGTTTGGAAAGCCTTCGGGGAACACGTGGGCGTCTTGATGGTCATCGTCGCCGTCTTGGAGGCCTCTTGGGCGATCTTTCGGCGATCTTTGGGGGCTCTTGGGCCGTCTCGGGCCGTCGGAAGGCCGAAAGAAGGGAAATGCCCAAATCCATCAAAAACCTTGGGAAAATCAGTGATTTTGGCATCTTTTGGCCTTCCTGGAGGCCCTCTTGGGGGCCTCTTGGGCCCTTTTGGGCCAGCTTCGAGCCAACTTCGGCCATCTTGGTGGGTTCCTGGCACGTCTGACGCCGTCGGGAGCCGTTTTGGGGGCCTGTCTGGGCCAACGGGGGACCCTCTTGGGGCGCTCCAGGGCCGTCTTGGAGGCCATCTTGGGCGTCTTGGAGGCCATCTTGGGCGTGTTGGAGGCCTCTTGGGCCGTCTTGGGGCCCTCTAGGGGCCATCTTGGAGGCCACTTGGGCCATCAGGGGGCTCTCTTGGGGGCCTCTTGGGCGATCTTGGGGGCTTCTTGGGCCGTCTTGAGCCGTCGGAGAGCCGAAAAGGCGCAAATGCCAAAATCCTTCAAAAACCAATGGAAAATCAATGATTTTTGCCCTCTTCGGACTCTCCTGGAGGACCTCTTGGAGGCCTCTTGGGCCGTCTGGGAGGCCTCTGGGGGGCCTCTTGGGCCGTCTTGGGCCGTCTTGGACTCTCTTGGGCCGTTTTGGAGGCCGTCTTGGACCATCTCGGGCGGACTTGGAGGCCATCTTGGGCCATCTTCGCGATTTTTTGAGGATGTCCCGAGCGAAACGGCCGTTTTTGCGCACGGTGGCGGGTTCTGCCGGAGCCCACTGGGGAGTTCTTTTGGAAAAAGAACCAAAACCAAAACCTAACAGCTCGTCCAGCACGCCGTGCACCCCTGCAAGCAGGGGGCGGCGGATATGGTGGCCTTCGGCCCATCCCGCCACCGTGCCTGGGTGATGGGTCAGAAGCCGCTTAGGTGTTCGGTTGGACGTCGTGGGAGGCCCTCTCGGGGGCCTCTCGGAGGCAGTTTCGATGCCTCTTGGTGGCCGTTTGAGGGCCTCTTGGGGCTTCTTGTTGGGCCGGCTTTGTAGCCTCTGGGCGATCTATGCGACCGAGCCAAGGAGCGCGCGAGAGCGCACGGGAACGCCGGGAAGATTTGAGAATTTGGGCCCCAAGCCCACAGAATATCACAATCCCCTTGTCCTGGGCACAGGGAGCAAGGGAACCCTTGAGGACCTGACGGCCCTCCACGTCGTGCCTCGAGGCACGGTAGCGGATGGCTGTTTCTGAACAGGGGGGGAGGCATGGGAGGACGGGACGGGAGAGGAGCACGCCGAGAAGAAGGGCCGAGCAGAAGGGCCTGCACCAGGGACGCAATCCTCTCCGGACGGAGGGAGAGAGACGGAGGCAGAGGCAGAGAGGGAAAGAGGGAAAGCGAGACAGAGAGGGAGAGGCACGCACACACACACACACACACACACACACACGCACACACGCACACACGCACACACGCACACACGCACACACGCACACACGCACACGCACACGCACACGCACACGCACA